TTTTTTATGTAGCTATGAAAGCTGAAGAGAGGGTCCATCTAATCTACATTAATGGTGGCATTAGCCAAAGGATAATTACTTGCACAGCTCATGATGAACCATTCATCAAATACTAATATTCCAAAGTCATGTTATTGTGGGTGTATAATTACTATAAATCAACTTAACTGAACCATTTGCATCATTTAGTACTCAGTATATCCGCCCTTTGTAATTAATACTCAACAATCTAATGATGTCAAAGACTCAATACATCAGTTTTATTATTACTGCTGTCCTGACAAGGGAAATAGAATTGCTTCAATAATCAAAATCAATTATTTTATTTTTCTTATATATATATATAAATATATATATATATATTTAAATTTCAGAATTCATCAAATATGTATTTTATTTTATTTTTTTTTTNNTTTTTTGCGAGTATCACATATGTAAATATTAACATGATGTCTAAAAGAAATTTAAATTAAGCATAGCACAGATGAATCACATTAATCAAGATTCAAAAAGTTGTAGTTAGGTTTTGGCTATTAGGTTCACAAGGTCCAAAAGCAGAATTCATTTCACAGACAAAATTCATTCCATATGGCAAATAAATTATTTTTTAACAATTTCAATTAATAATTTTATGAATTTATTACACATCTACATTTGAAAGCATCTTTCATTTAAAAAAAAAATAAAAAAAAAAATAAAATGAATATATATATGTTTAAAAGCTGAAACTCCCAAAATTTAGTGCAGGTACGAAACATAGGAAATGAACAAAAACAACATACACAATAACAGAGAGGACACAGACACAAAAGACCTTTCATTAACACAAACAGCAGGAAATTTTACAAAACACCAGAAAACAGCTTATAAGCTGCACCAGGCCTGACCACACAGGCATTTATTAGACATCCTAAACACCAGAAACAAACAGAGGACCTCAAACGACTCGAAACCGAAGACATTCCACGACATAGACACTCAACAACCGAAAATCAAAAAAAAACAAAAAAAAAAAGACCAACCTCAGACAACATCACATCCAGACAACACAATCCTAGTCAGAACCACCCACAGTCAGTACTAAAAAAATTGGTGGTTGAGGCATGCAGAGGGCCCCACATTCCCGTTCCTCGGCACAAACTGCCTCATCCAAACGTGCTTCCCGTTGATCGAGAACTTAGCCTTTGGCTCGCCGTTGAGAATAAAGTGAATGTACGAAGGGTGCATGAACACGATGCGCGCGTAAAGTGCCTGCTCCTCGGGCTCCACCTCCTGCATGTAAAGCGACTCTATGCAGTTCCCAAACAGCCTCACGAAAAAGTCCCTCACCTTCAACATCAACCAAAAAAAAAAAGAAAAAAAAATTGATCTTTCATCAATACAATAAACTACAAAGAAAAGAAAATGGGAATAAAGATTTTTATAGGCGCGCGCTTACCTCAGCCTCGGTGACTGGGTAGCCTTTAGAGAAAGTGACGAACATGGTCCTCGAGAATTTTGGGAGGCCCGCCTCGCCAGCCGGGGGCCCACCAGAGTCCCCATCAGCAACCTTCAGGCCCGATAACCCACGAGCAGCCAGATCCTCAAGAGTGAGTGCGCGGACCGGGCTTGGTGGGCCGATTGGGCCAAGTACAGTACGTGGGCCCGGTGAAGGAGTATTCAAAGGGATGAGGCCCGCACGGGTCGGGCTGGGAACCGGGGTGATGCTGCCTTGACGGGCCAGCTCCATGATGTCTGAAAGCGCCGGAATGCAGATATCGCTGACGAGATTCTGCACGCCGTGGAAAACGACCAGGCGGTTCTCGGAAAGGAACTGCAGAAAAGGAGCCTCGATTTTGAGGAGGCAGCAAGTGAGTGGGATGGGTGAGTTATCGGGTGGTGGGGTGGGTGGGAGGTGGTGGGTGGCCATGATGACTTGGAGGCAGATGACAGCCTCGTCACATGCTCGGTTGATGAGGTGGGTGTCGAGAGAGAGGATGCGGCTGACGAGGTTCCGGAAGCCGCCACGCTCGAGCCAGTGCCAGAAGCCCATGACTTGGAGGGACTCAGAAGGGTTACGGGAGAGGTCCCGGATGAGGATGGTGTACAGCTCGCGGTCTAGGCCGTGGAAGATCTTGAACTCCTCAAGGGTCACTTTCCCCACGAAAGCATCCATCGAGAGTCGGGTTGCGGAAAAAGCCTGGCAAAAAAAGAGGGAACATTTTTTCGTAATAACAAAGTGAAAAAATATTTCGAGTCAGACAAAAAGTTGATTACTATAATCCTCGGACAAAGATTATTATTATTATTATTATTATTATTATTATTATTATTATTATTATTATTATTATTATTATTATTATTATTTCAGAAGAGAAAGAAATGTTTGTGTTTATGGAGTATAGCCAAAAACAGCATTACTGTATCTCGTGGAATTAACAGGCAAATGTGATGCGGATTAAAAGAATAACTTAAATCACAGGTAAAAAATAGATCAAAAGAAAACAGAAATGAGGAGGAAGATGGAGGAGAAGAAATGAGGAGGGCTAAAGATTAAAAACATCTGACAAATAAAGTTGAAAGGCGGCTGGTAGCCAAAAACCGTTCTGACATGAGCAAGAAGAATGCCAGAAATGGCACTGATTCTTAACATCAAAGAAGGGGGATGCCAGTGCCAGAGAACAGTAAGAAAACGATTTATGGAATTCATGTTTACGGCATAAAACCTTGTAAGAATGCAGTTGATGAAAAATCACAGATCTAAAAGAGAGATATGTAATTACAAATCGATATGCTGAGTAAAAGGAGAAAATAAAATAAGGAGACTTACTAGAGAAAAGCCTTCTAGTAGAGAATATCTTTGTTTTAGTGTACTCTAACCCTCCCGAAACGCCAACTTAAATAGGCCGTGGAGCCCGATGGGTGAGATAAAGTCATGAATTTGTGCTTATCGATTGATAACAAAAGTACAAAAAGTTATTATGATGAGTAGGTATCAACTCATGAAAATCATCCTTAGTTGGTGGTAATTAATGTATTTTTTCAGGGATTATGGTAATAAGCAACGGAGATAATCATAATTTTCTGCTTTTTGGTCAATGAGTCCCAGAGAAATGCTTACACATGTCGAGGGTGAGGTGAGGCGAAGAAATCAAAGAAACTGCAGTAGTCCTCAAAAGGCAATCTTCTCTAGGGATTACAAGAATATGTTAACAATAATTTACAAAGTGGTAACGTTCGCCAACCACCTGCAGTCATGGCTCCTTTTCCCCTCCATAAAATCTAGAAAGAGAGATTTATCACACTAGGCAAATTAGGAAAATCCGAAGACATTATTGTGTATTGATAATCTCCAGCTGTACATAATAAGCCCATTATATGATACTAACAATAAGATTTCTCTAATTTTCATAGAAAAAAAATTAACAAGACCTTGGATCTCATATTGTTTTGCAATCTATACAGTAAATAGTTTTCAACCAAAACTATTCCGCCATTCTAATATATTTTTGTCAACATGAGAACTACTCAAGGCACATTAATTATTTTTTTTTTCTTTTACTTGATTTTTTCGTCTACTAAAACCTTCAGACGAATGTCATAGCTGACGGGTGTGTGCTCTTTTAAAGCATCATCTATCGTCTTTATTTATCATGTTATATGCCAAATAAACCAGTCTATATAGTCTAGGATCTTTATCGGCAGTAGAACAATTCTATTGGTCGTTTAGCCTATTGTCAATAAGTAGAATGTTTACTCCAAATTTTCCATTAACATGACACAGTGCCATAAAAAGTTCTTATGTTTGTGCTCAATACATAACTAAATGGTTCAATTCAGCCAATAAACCACTGAGAACTTTTAAAGTTATCTCTGAAATCCATGCAAGTACAACTCAGAAGGCATTGACATGCATAAACGACTTAATAGTTCCGTTAATAACCTGTCACCACTTGTTTGTGCGCCTTTGACTTTAAGGTTAAAGTCAACACCGACAAACAAGACTCGATTTACCGTTATACTTTAGATCGTCTACACCCAATAAATATCCTGGTATCCTTATAAGCCAACACGTGTAGTGTCCAAAAACTCAGGGCACAAAATTCTTTACATACTAAAGCCAACGACTTTTTCGATAAGGTTAAAGCAACCGGCAATTCCGTTAACCATAAATACTACCCTATTAGAGATTTCTCATTAAATTGAGCAACTTCCCGTTGGGGTGTCATTTTATGCACGCACCAATAGCAATTACTCCATCTACGTACGAGCATGACACGTTTGCAGTATCTGTTGTTCATGCACAATAAATAACTTTTAAAAGTTTGCGATCATGAATGACATAATTATTCCGTACAATTCATGAGCCAAATAGGTACGACTCAAGAAGGTTTAATAATATAATGACAAAACAGTTACCAATTATTTTATCAATATTAAGCCCCATCCTAGCTTTGATGTATGTCTAAATATGCACATCAACATAATTTAGGTCATCATTATGCATAATGCATAGGCTGTTCATGCACGAGAAGAATCCTAAAAAGTTCAAATTGCCAATAATAAACATTATGCAGTATGTCCTCTGCTAGATATCAGAGGCAAGAACCTTTCTACTGGACCATTACAACTTAAAGGCGGCTGCTAAATATATGACACCCATAATTAACAGCACGTTCCTAGTCAACTAGATTGAATTTCTATTAAAGTGCCAGTATAGACATATAATGTCAATACCTCAGCATCGGACTTTTGCTTCCTTCTTCTGTTATGCTAAACAAAAGGTATCAAAGGTTCATTTAGCTCATAAATGACAAAAAGTCTTGAAGATACTCGGTGTAATTCATTGTCACGAGAGGTATGACTCGGGGTCTCATTATGTCGCGACAAGAGTTTCGTTTTACTACATGTATACGTCTTGAAGTTCACCATTATACTGTCGGCTGCTCATTCTGAATGTACGTAGAAAGTTTAACTCTACCCATCACTGATAAATCATGTGTGTGATCTACTTATTCAGTGTATTAAATGGCCTTTCCAGTCCACTTCCATGAATGACTTTCATAAAAGAAGCAGACAGGAACTCTGCTGATATTTGTTCGTCTATCCTCACTCAAATAACTACGCTAGTTATCGTCCTTATTTCTTACAATCATTGCACCAGAAAAAGTATGCTCATAAACGTTTAAAATTTTTCTTCTGCTTGTATAACCCCCAAGTCTTTAGGTTATCCCATACAATCAATGCACCAAAAAGGTTACGACCCTTCATACCTCTGTGTTTTCCATTAAACATCTATATGCAAGTCATTGGTGTATTTCAGGTCACCTGTATAATTCAGCAGTTTCTACACTAACTAACATTCCAAAAAGTTCAAAACCAAGCCACACATGTTAACTATAAGATTTGCGACATGAAACATGCACTCACATGGCTTCTACTGAAAATATGTGTTCTTCAAGAAACAAAATTAGGTAGGATTATCGTGTTCATACACCTAGCAAAAGGGTGCAAACAATATTTTAAAAAGTAAACAAAAAAAGTAAACGTACCTAAATGAGAAGGTCAATGGAGAATATATGATCATAGCTCATCAACTCCACTCCTCAATTTTGCTTAAATTTTTTAAGCAAGTTGGAATTCGTATGTTCTGGTCCCACTGGTTTCTCAAAAACTGGGCAGTTTTAGTAGCAACCAGCATGCATCTGGTGCTGATCAAAATACCGAAACCAATTGGTAAAAGAATCAAAGTGATTCACAGAACCCAGCCAGAAATGAGAAACAGTAATAGAATAACAAACATCAGTTCAGACAAGCTTCTCTCATAGCAAGCAGAGTCCAAAAGTAGCAGCAGCCAACCTTTCAAGAATAGTTCAATGGTTCAGCAATACAGACCTTCTCACACACAACCACATACATGACTGTTCAAATAGCTTTCAATGGACTGTTACTACAAGAAAAAATGGAATTTACAGGTATCCTATGCGTATATATAACAAAGCAGGGTCAGGTGCAAACGCTAAATTATATATTTCAGTCATTACATTCTGAAACTGCCGTAGGAAATGGACATGCCTATAACTATACTGGGCAGAAATACGTGAAAAGGGGGGAAAAGGGGGTACAAGTTAGTCCACTTCCATGAACATAAATCATAGTGTGGACTTAAAACAGTAAGGCAGATTCATTTTATATTATTGTGGTCCCCGTTATTTATCCATGATCCAGCAACACTGGCTTTAGAATCCTCATCTGCATCAGCAACTTGGAGATCAGACAAGGAGAAAGACCGACAAGAAGAAAGCTTATCAGCAGTGGGAAGTACCAAAGGCTCAGGCTGCAAAGCTCGTCTTACATGTGGCGGCAAAGGAGGTCGGTTGGAGCCCTGTAAAGACGAAAAGGAGCAAGACGTCTCAGCAGAGTTGGCTTCATAGACGTTTGCAGCTGCTACAAGCGCCACCATGCTTCTACAGCTGTTTGGTCTTTTTGATATGCCACCCTTAGTGCTGCGCATGATGCTATCGCGGTTCTTGTCCATGATATTATTGAAGGCGATCAAGTTCTTGCGTTTCCTGGTGTACACATTCTCAGGTTTAGTGATTTCGTCGATGGATGGGCAAGCTGCAGCGTCCGACAGGCTGGTGAAAGATTTTGATTTCCCACTGTAAAACTGGGATATGCTTTTTCTGAAATAAGGTTCAGCACATCAGGACATTATTACCAAAATAAATAAAATCACCAGTTGATAAATAAGGTATGTGTACACTGATTAGAATTTCCTAGTGATTTTGTTATCATTTTTCAGATTTATTTATCTTTACAACTTTCGATCATGTTTGACGAAAAAATTCTAATGAGTCAGTTTATCATAAAGTAATTTAGCTTTAGCTATTAGCTACCCATTTTCCGTTACAAGATCAACCAAGCAGGCATTTGCATAACCCAACTACATAAGATGACTTCAAGGGAAATATAACCATGTCCGGAAGGATGGAGGAAATAACAATAGATTATCAAAGATACTGAAACAGATTTAAGTACAAGATTCGGTTATAAAACACATACATCGTAAGACACTGACAAGAAATAACGGCTACTCCCTTTGTCAGTATGAAATGGGATTTTTTTTTTTCCTTTTTACGTCCACCCTAACTTATAGAAGTGTCACTTTTGTATAGTATCAACTACACAAAAAAAGACCAAAGTACCCCTATATAACCCCTTTGTTTTTCTTTGATTCAATTAGTTGATACGTCAACTAGTTGGACTACTAAAGGTTAAGGTAGACATTGGATTTCATGCAAGGGGAAGATAAGAAAAATAACAAAACAGATAGTACAATCACAATGCCCAAATAAATTTATTACGTTTAAGAATCTTTGTGGTTTTTCCTCCAAGCCAATAATAATGGTCGGATAGTGTGTATGATTTTGGTAAAAATGAGATGCATTCATGATGTTATTGGAGCACTTAAGCTGTCCAATTGAGCCACACAAGAATATCGCAAAATGATTGACTGAATTAGGGCTTTAAGAAATGTGATCAATTACAAGAGCAATCTATTTTCTGTTTTTACCAGTCAGAATCTACATGCATATCAAGTTATCAACATAGAGAAGAAGAAGAAGAAGAATCTCTTTTCTTATTGGACAACCCATGAAACAGTAAGGCAAAACTTTTGTTTAAATTATAATGAAATGAGTCCCATGCAATCAACTCACTTTAGGCAACACCTAAAAAGCACTATACTTCATTCATAACCAATCCAAACACCTCGATGAGAAGATATAATGATGAAACAACCTAGAAATTCACACACACACACACACATATAACATCCAGCCCAATTCCTCCCATGGTGCATATAAATAATTCAGATTCAGATCATGCTTCAAATACAACACATTCTTGATTCCCCATCAACGCCTCCAATTAACTCCGTATATTAATTTATTAACCCCATTGTTCCATTTTATCTGTAGTTTATTCTACTTTTACTTGGGTACATATAATACTTTCACTAGAAGCTAACAGTAGAAGACAAAAATCGAAAAAAAGACGATCAACTAACACAACTCTACAAACTCAAAACCTTAAGCCAGAAAGGGAAATAGCAAATTCAACAAATGAAAGGGAAAGAAAGAGGAAGAAACACATACTTCATGGGTAAAACTTCCTCCAAAGCATCCAAGCTTTCCAGTGGTCCTCCCTTATACTCACTCTGCACCTCCTCCCCATCTCCTCCGGCGCCGGCCGTGGAATCGTCGCTGTTTTTCCCAATAGAAGAGGTGATTGAAGACGATAACGAATCTCCGTGATCCTCTGCCTCCAACTCCGGTGACTCCGGGAACTTCCGATCAACGGCGGAGAACTCCTGTGGGTTGTAGGCTGAGGGAGATGACGCCATGCTGCGGTGGCCAAACCCTTTGAGGTCGATCTGGTGATCGCAGCCGGCGGAGGTGGTCCTCTGTAATGCCGTCGACATTACTGTGCCACGGCGGTGTATAGATACATAAGAGGTGTGTGTATAGGCGGAGAGAGAATGAGATTATAAAAAACTGGAATGGATATTGATCGCCCACATTCTTTATCCAGATTCCAGACACAATAATGAAATCTATATATATATGGCTAATTTATTTAATAAAATCTATTTTAAATCAATGTTTTAAATACCATACCGGCCGGTAATATCGGATACCGACCATTGGTTCGATACAATTACACTCAAAATACCGGATTTACGGTTCTACCGGTTTGTACCAGGATCATACCGTAAAAACTATAAAATACCGTCCAAAATACCGGCTAATTAAAAAAAAATTAAATGTTAAAAAAAAATAAATTGGTAATTAAAATGTTTTATTTTTATCTCATTGAGAAGTTGAAATTAATGATTATGATCATTTATTTTTTTAATTTTTTGCATTTGGTATTATATATTTTTATGTATATTTATATTTATCATTATATTTGCTAATCCGGTAATACTACTGATATTATCGGTCTGACCGATAATACCGCGTACTGGTGGCTAGACCTTTATTGACACGATATACTTTCTGCCTAAAAACGTTACAAGCTATTTTATGCTTTCTGCCTAAAAACGTTACACACTATTTTATGCAGTTTTTTTTTTTATAAATAAAAGCAGACCAATACTGCGCGTAGACTCTGTGTATTAAATGTGGCAGTTACAATCTCATCCAAAGATGAAATATTTTTCCAATTAATATAATAAACAATTTATTAGGCAGAAACTTAATTAAATGAAATATTTAGTTAATAAAATTACAATCAGTCATATTTCTTATACTTTTTTATTTTGCTCTATAAATGAATAAATAACCAGTCCGAGAAAATTGAACAAATACAACACATATACAAAAATTAAATAAACATTGCAAATAATAAATTAATTGACCGCCCTTCAGCTTTGAATTAGACCTATAAAAAATAATAAAAAAATACAAATCAGTAGACAATTTAATTATCCCATGATTTAATAAGAATATAAAATTAATAGTAATGTAATATAAATCTTAAACTGTTCAATTTCAGTAAGGCGGGAAAAATAAAATAAAATCAAATCAAAATCAATGAAAAAGAGGCGGCAGGTAAACAAAATAAAATTCAAAATCAGATAAAGTATGATAGATAAAAAAAAATAGAAGAATGTTTTTATTCCATGATTTTAGCACATTATTTATGCATATTATTATATAATATATCAGTTACCATTCCCAAAAAGGAATGAATTTGGAGGGGGATTCGGGAAAAATACATAAAAGAAAAAAAATAAAGTTTGACAGATTACAAAAAATAGAGGAATGTGATTATGAACATATTATGATTTATAAATATTACATATTAAATATATTAAATGTACCAATGTGATTTTGACCATACTAAAGACCATATATACATATGTCCAACATTCATGCACAGTTTAGCCTCATTACAATTGCAACTATTCAGCAAACAAAAAAAAAAAAAAAATCTCCTAATTTTTTCTAATCAGCAATGGCATCCATTTTTAACAATTTAACATTCTTGGCCAAAAACAAGAATAAGACTGCCAGGCTTCGATTGGTCAGACACTACCCTCGATATTATCAGTCAATGCAGCAAAAATCAGCGGACATGATTTCATTTTTCATGATGTGAAGGTATATTATTTTTTACTTACTTCGCTATTATTCAATTATTCAATTAATTTGTACAAACAACATTTCTACGACCAGCTTTGGACAATCTTTGTTATTTTTTTTAGGGCCAGCGTATACACGGCTGGCCACCCGGATGCTTATCCGGAAAGTTCAAAGAACTTAAACTTCTCGAAAACAATGTGTACGAGATCACAAATTTCGAACTTGTAGAGAACAAAAGTGCATTCAAGATAACAAAGTCAAGTCACAAGTTCATTTTCTACAAACAAACTAACATGCGTGAGATAGTTGATGATGAGTATCCGAGGTTGATGTTTGAGTTCAAGCAATTCAGCGAACTAACTGACCCCGAAATAATTGATCCCTCCACACTTTTTGGTAATTTTTATCTATTTTTTTAAATCATTCAAATTCGGTATCTTATAGTATTTATTAATTTTTTTTTTCATTTGTAGACATGATTGGCCATATTGTTTTGTTTCAAAACGTACATACAAAAAATTTAAATGAAAGTCCAAAGAGGTGTATTGACATTGTTCTTGAAGATGTTGAGTAAGTCTTCATAGAACTTTCGTTTTATTTTAATTTGAGTATACATATCTTTTAGAAATTAATTTGTTTTTTTATTGTACAATTTATAGTGGCTGCCACCAAACATGTACAGTATGGAAAGGATATGTGGATATTCTTCTAACTGCCTACAAAAAGTCAATTGCAACTGATTTGTGTGTGCTCATTATACAACTTTGCCATGCAAAGTCATTTGATGATGGTATATATTATTTGACTTAATTTATATTATCATTTGCTCTTATTGATATTTTAGATTTATCTTGCATTTCTTAATTGTCCCAAAAACTTTTTTTTTTTTTTTTGTAGGATCTGTTTTAGTTTCCAACATTTATGATGCTACGAAATTGATAGTCTCGAATGATGTTCCTGTGATTGTTGATTTCAAACAAAGGTATATATCCTAAGTCTTCAATATCTATTTGTTATTATGTGATTCTATATTTGATCAAATAAAAATTAATTATATACTTATAATTAAATTTTTCTTTCACTAGGTACAATGCCCACACAAGGCCAAGGGAATCTTCATTCACTTATGTTAGGTCTTTCATGTCTAATGTATCTGACGACTTGCAATCCAAAATTGCTCCTATCCTAAGTGTTGCGGACTTTTATGCATCCGAAGAGGTATCAATTTGACTTATTACAACATTTGAGTTATTACTCACTCATAATAAAATTAGCAATTTTTTCAATTATTACTCACATATTGATTTGCTTTTAATTTCTCTTTTCAGCAAAAAGATTATTGAATTTGTGGAACATTATTGATATTTGGAGAGATTGGTTTTTCAATTTTTGCCCAAATTGCGTTCGAAAAGTCGAGCCCAAAGAAGAGAGTTTTGGTGCAACTATTGCAAAGACACCATTCTCTTTGCAATTCTTAGGTAATTATCTTTTATAATTTTAAAATCAATCATAAAGATATTTTATATGTTTTTATTCATTTTTTTATTGATAGATACAAGATGCATATTTTAGTTGGGGACAACACCGGAATGGTTCGCCTTTTGTGCTGGGGCAAAGTTGCTCGAGAGTTGGATGGAAAACCATGTGATGTTGTTGTTAGTGAAATGATAGAGGCATGTGTATTTTGTATATTGAGTATTGCTCAAATGTTGTATTCTTATATTATCAAAATTATAATTTAATTCAAAATTTATCATGCAGGAAAATGATGAATCGGATCTACCTCTTGACCTTGAGTTTTTTATAAACAAAGTGCTATTGTTCAAGGTCTCAAAGAAAAAAGATCAATTTGTATCATACAATGGTCCTTTTACTGTTTCTCGAGTAACAGCCGACCATATTTTGGTCAGCCGATTTGGTTCTTTGGCCAACATCTCCCAGGTAGGCCTGATTTTATTTAAAAAAAAAATAAAAGTCCTACAAAGTGTAATAGCATTATTATTTTTATATTATATAATAATTAATATATTGTAATGATTCTCTTTGTCAACAAGATTCTGACCAACTCTCCACATTGGTCAAAGAATATTATGAAGCTGGTCAAGTAAATATTAATTTTAGATTTTCATTTTCAGCAGCAAAATATATTATTTTCATAAAAATTATATATTTTTTAATGTAGAAATCAAATAGTGAGGATTTTGTACCAGACTGCAAAGAACAAACAGGAAAGAGGGTTCAAAAGAAGTTATTTAAAGATGGCCAGATCTGTTCAGGGGAGCCAAAAAACAAGAAAATCAAAGTTGTGTTTGAGGGGCTGGATGAAGATTATATTAACTTGGAAGTTGTTATTGGGATATTATTTTCAATATTTCCATTTTACGTTGTCAGATTCATGCTGTTTTAAAACAACATGTTCAGTAATGTACTTGAAAAATAATATTCGGTCTATGAATAAAAATGTTTTTATTAAAATGTGTTTAATTATTTTTGCATTTTATTACTTCTATATTTTAGTCTTTTACTTCAATAATATTAAAATTAAGACAAAAAGAGCAACTCCTAAACTCCTTTTAACAAAATGTCAACCAATCGATAAAAACCATAAAATTGAAAATAAAGGCGAAATGACAACTACAAGAACACAAATGCCAACTTTTCACACAAATGACAACTTTTTCAGTTTGAAAATTTCAGCCAAATTACAACTTAACAAATTATCAGCCACACAATATAGTTAAAAATGAAACCCACATGACAACTTATCAGCTTTAAGAACCACAAAAAATATAACTCAGTAATTACCTAATCACCCATACAAATTTCTAGCAATCATGACCCCATTCAATGATTGGCTCGGCGGAACAAGGAAACCTGGCCGGCTAAGAAATAAGCTACTACGCGGAAATAAACTTAATACAAACATAAATCTGACCATTTCTGTTAATTATTTAGTTATTCAGTTTTGTTGATAAATTCAAGATATCAAGTCAGCAAATTCAAATTGTAATGGAAATTAAGTTTGAAGATAAAAGAAGAAAACAAATTCAGTTTTTTCCTTAATCCGAGGGGTCTAAAGATAATCTTCTTTTATTTTTTTCCTTTATTAAGTCAGCAAATTCAGTTTTACAACTCAGCGAATTCAAGATATCAAGTCAATAATCATAATAGTACCAATCAAATCATGTTTGAATTACTTTTTCCACAATGAAATTACTCAATTTAATGAAACCATGATTTCAGCAGTCATAGATAGTACAGAAATACATCAGTTTTGTAATACCTTCCAAATACAAGAAATCAAGTCAAAAATCCTAATAAAAGCTAACAAATGCACTTAATATATTTACCAAATATAGATGCTACAGTTTTCTATATAAACCAATAAAATTTTATTTAGTCTACTTATCCCAAAACACATCATCTAAACAAAAACTTTTGCAACTTCTGCTGTTCATCAGCCAAGCACATAAAGACCACACAAGAAGAGTATAAATGCACAGAAAGAAGGTGGATTCAGCACACAAGCTTTAATATAGAACAACCACTCAAAGAAAGTTGATTCAACAAGATGAAAAGGTTATCCAGCGGCTACAATATATTGGGCAACAAAAAGACCAAACAAGATTCTACTGCTAATGGTACACCGAATAATGTGTACAATATGTTATATTGTTGAAAATATAAGAATGAATTACCTTTAACGTCACTTCCAGTAATCATTTGTTTCGAGGCCTTCAATGTGTTTATCCTTTTTATTTTCGTGTTTTGTT